TTGCGGTCGACATATTTTATTTTATCTAATGTTAGCTAGGTCAACAAAATAAAAGTTGCGATAGAAAGTTATATATACAAGTATTATATTGGTGCTGTTGGGCAGAAACCTTACCTGGGCAGTACCTCCATATTAATTTTTATTTGTGGTCATAAATCAATGCTATCGGTCACATAAGCTGTCGTGTGGTGGCGTTCTGGTGCACTATGGCTGCTGTCGCATCATCCGGGTGGATGCTGCACATTGGTGGCGGGGAGATCCCCCCTACAGTTGCACTACACTACAGTTCAATTTCAGTGTTATCGGTTATATGTGTGTTATGCGTGACAAAGTGGCCAATAAACATATTTCAAGTGTTACAGTAAATGTGTTGATCTAAACAACTGTGACAATGGTTATTTTAACAAAAAGTTTTCTTTATTCTTTTGTTTTATCACGTTTGCATAGATGGGTCATTTTAGACCCATGTGTGTAAACTTGATGTATTTACACAAAACCTAGGAAATATTAAAATATGAATTTGTGATAATTGAAAACAAGATATTTTGAATATTCATAAATCATGAAATTTATAGATCATGAAATAGAAAATGCTCAAATAAAGTGATTTCAAAAGGTGAAACAAAAAAATGCCGAGCCATGCATGAAATAACATAGGAAATGAATACGGGTCTTTTTAGACCCATGTTGTGCATTAGAGGGGGTATCCATAGCTTGCGCATCAAAGGGTTAAATTAGATAATTTAAAAGTACAAACTTAAATGATCGTAAACATATATTGCTCATGTCTGGGTGAATAGTATTAGCTGAGTTTTTTTTTTAAGTTTAGAGACGTGCTCCAGAAAAAAAGTTCACGGGCACGGAGAGGCAGAACGCACACCCTGTTTATTTTCTTTATTTTACAAAAGCACAATATTTTATTTCGATTGTAGGTGGGCACATACAAAAGTAGACATTTAACAGTTTTTTTTAAATATGTTTCATAACTCTGTATGACCACAAATGATGGAGTAGTTTAAGTCTATTTTTCTGCTATGTGAAAAAATATCTGCCAAAACGCACGGGTGCGCTCTTGGTCCCCAGAGGGTTAATGGACAGGATATTAAGCTCTACTGTCAACAAAGGCTCAAAGGGAGGACTTTGAAGAGCCCTAAGTACCAGAGCTAGGTCCCAAGAGCGTACAGAGTGCAAAACACGGGGTGGATTTAACCTCCTAGCACCCTTAAGGAATCTAATGATCAGATCGTGCTTCCCCAAGGACTTACCTTCTACTACAACGTGATGCGCAGCTATTGCAGCGACATACACTTTGAGGGTGGAGGGAAACAGCCTTCGCTCCAACCCATCTTGCAGGAAGGAAAGCACGACTCTGATCGGGCAAGTTCGGGGGTCCTCCTGACAGGAGGAACACCAATCGACGAACAGGTTCCACTTCAACGGTGATGGTCTCTACCACTGCCTGTGGTAGACCACCTAGAACCTCCGCGTCCCGTCCAGGGACCAGACATGGAGTTTCCAGAGGTCTGGACGCGGGTGCCATAGAGTGCCCCGTCTCTGAGTAAGGAGGTCCTTCCTCAGAGGAATTGGCCAAGTAGGGGCTGTCGTGAGGAGCATGAGTTCCGTGAACCAAGTCCTGGTGGGCCAATACGGCGCCACTAGAAGGACCTACTCCTCGTCCTCCCTGACCTTGCACAGTGTGCAGAGGCACCCTCCTGTAGAGCAGTATCCAGGTCCTCCCTCAGGTCGCCCGTCTCAGGAACGCTTCCCTCCCTTCTTTTTACGGGAAGGGGCCGGGGGCGCCTGAGCGGGCTGGGCCGTCCTCTTGCGACCAGACTTCCGCTCTCCAGGGTTGGACTGCTGCCCTGAAGGAGGAGCTGGTGCAAGAGGACGTCCTCTGCGACGGGAAGCTGCCGGAGGCTCTATGGCGACAGGAGACGGGCCAGCAGCAGCCCGTTTCCTGTGCAGGACATGCCGTATTGCCTCCGACTGCTTCTGGGCGGCGGAGAACTCTTGGACAAAGCTCTCCACCGCGTCGCCGAAGAGGCCGCCTTGGGAAATGGGGAAGTTGAGAAGTTTGTTCTTCTCAACATCGCGCATATCCGCAAGGGTAAGCCATAGGTGGCGCTCCTGGACCACCAAGGTGGACATCGCCCAACCCTGCGAACGTGCGGTGACTTTCGTCGCCCGGAGGGCGAAGTCCGTCGCCGCACGCAGCTCCTGCAGCAGAGCTGGGTCGGGACCACCCGCCTGCAAGTCATGGAGTGCTTTAGCCTAATGGACTTGAAGCAGCGCCATGGCATGCAGGGCGGAAGCGGCGTCTCCACACGCCATTTAAGCATCCCTGGTCAGACCAGAGGAAAACTTACAGGCGCGGGAGGGGAGTGATGGGGCACCCCGCCAAGTGGAAGCGGTCTTCGGACACAGCTGCATCGCAACCTACCGCTCCAAGAGGGGGATTCCCTCATACCCGTGCGCCGTCCCGCCATCAAGGATGGTGAGGAAGGAGGAGCGAGGTTGTCTACGCCTGGTCGCAAGAGGGGCCAGCCAAGACTTCCTCAGCTCCTTATGCACTTCCGGGAAGAAAAGCATTGCGCAATGTTTACTTCCGCCTTTTATACCCGCGCTGGTAGGCGGGTCGCGGAATGCAAATCTTGCATGTCAATTTCCATTGGCTCATTTTAATTCTCTCGAAGGCAATTGGCTCCCTAGCGTGATCCCAATTCGTCAGGGAACTCCCCCGACGACACGTCGGAGTTCCCAGGACGAAAGGGAACTACATGTATCCGGAGCTACTTTTTTCTGTTTATGTATATGGCGAGTCACACAGGTACTGGGCTACTCTGCAGTGGTTGTCGTCATCCCACACGGTCTAAAATAGTCTGAATATAAACACTTATTATTAGGGGTGTAACAATACCCTCATCTCACTATTCGATATTATTGTGATACTCCAAGACATATGATAAAAGGTTAACAAAAAATGTACTGTTGATTAAAATGCTACATTTTGTATTACATTGTGGGTGTAAATTAGCCTGGTAATACCAGACTCTGCTACTTCACTTTGCTTCGTTGACAGAGTCTGGAATGGCATAATAGAGAAGTGTTTTCTCTCTCGCTAGGGGGCGCTTGTCTGAAGTTTAAAATCATTGGTTACCCGTAAGCCAATCAGATAAGTTTATATATGACGTATGTTATGTGCCAACACAGCCGCATCGAACCACAGACATCATGCATCGAACTCAAATCTATGATCGAACTTCCACTGTAAACCTGCTGTAAACACTTGATGCAGCGAAATACCGGAGTGAACATGGCTGTAAACGACTTTTGCAGATTATGCGAAGTTAATCTACGCATCCACGGTACAATCAGGGCCTCTAAACTGATATTTGACAGTAGAGAGAAACAAAAAAAACTGTCAAAGTTAGGATTAGTTCTGTTAAACACAGCTCTTTGTTCATCTCGAGTCTGTCGGAAATGCTGCAACTTAATTGCAAGATTACAACATGTCATGGCAATATTTAAGACCTGGAAAAGAAAGGAGACACTGACCTGTCAAAAGGCTCCCCAGTTTCTCGCTGACGATCGGTAATAGTTGATAAATTAAACTTTTCCCAAAGGGAGTAGAGCCACAACATCACCTCCATTCAAAATGTTTAATACACACTCTTCTTGTTCGGGCTTCAGTTTGCTAATGTCGGTAATATTCTCCACAACTGAGCGAATTGCATCCGCGTCTCCATATCCGCGGTCGTTTTCGATTTCCCTGACCTAATCTTAAACTCGGCGCTTAACGACTACGTCACGGCTTTCAGCCCGCCCTCTGTTCGTTGATTGGCCCGGCTGTTTTCAGGCCGGAGGAAAACGGATATATAGGCCGCTGTCTCAGACTGAGTACAGAAGCGAAATGAAATTGAGCGGAAGTAAGAAGTCTGACGTAGTCAGGCTAGGTGTAAATGAATAGGCTTGAACTTGGTGCTGGTAACCCAATGCACGGGACAATAGTGACACCAGAATAAAAATATTCATGATTCTGAAGCTGAAAATACATAATTATTTTAGACGAATATTCTTGCACTCTGTCACTGACTAGATGTATTTAAAATAATGTAGGCCACTTTTTACTGGTAACGTAAGACATTTGGCATTATCAGGACCAACGAATTTTCCCCAATTGCATTATTATACATTATATTCAACATTATTGTAGCAGTTTAATGTAGAACTGACACTAAAACTCTGAAAGAGTTTTTCTCACGCATCCATTTTTATTTTGGGTGAACTATACACAATACATATTGTCACTATCCACGATACATATGGTTGCATTTTTGTATTGCGATATATTGTGACACGATATATTGTTACACCTCTACTTATTATAGGCGTTACATTAGTGATTCAGGATAAGACAAAAACACTGTTTGGAAGATGGATTCATTATCCCCTCCTTATTATATACATTTTGCATAGTGTACCTTCAAATAAAGCTGTATACAATTGGACATCAGTCTAATTCAATGTCATCTCGTTGGTTTATTGGGGAAATGGTAAATGGTAAATGGACTGCATTTATATAGCGCTTTCACAGACCCAATGGCCACCAAAGCGCTTTACAATTTGCCTCACATTCACCCATTCACTCACTCATTCATACACCGACGGGGGACGGCAGCCATGCAAGGCGCCATCCAGCTCATCGGGAGCAGCTGGGGTTAGGTGTCTTGCTCATGGACACCTCGACACTTGGTCAGGTGGAACCGAGGATTGAACCACCAACCTTCCGGTTTGTAGACAACCAACATGAACCACTGAGCCACTGCCGGAAAAAACGAATCAATCTTTAATTTCTTGATTTAAGCTGCCCTAAACACTGTATTTTGGCATTATATGAATAGTAGTATAGCACAGGCGATGAGTGTTGCTTGAAAATGTCTATAAGCCGTCTCTTTATGTAGGGTCACTAAACACACCTTGTTCCTGCTGTTTCAGGGGGACGAGCTCAATGAATCTGCTCAGGAGAGTCGTGCAAATGCTGAGATGCACAGACTCCTCGCCCAGAAGTTCCTCAGGTTGCCATGGAAACCAGAGGTAAAACATCCTTTTATAGTGTTAGAAACGTACACTTTAGTTTCCTACAAAGAAGAAATGTGTTGGATAATACTCAAAACCACACTTGCAGTGTGCAATATAGCTGTGAATCTCTCTCTCTCTCTCTCTCTCTCTCTCTCTCTCTCTCTCTCTCTCTCTCTCTCTCTCTCTCATTGAGTGTGATTTCCTTAGGGAGGCTCATCCTCCCATAGCTCTGCATCCCGCCAGGAATCATGCTAAAATTACTTGAACAGGTGGCTGAAAAGACGAGAGAACAACAGGCGCTGTATTGATGATGAACCAGCCAGTTCTGCTTAGCCCTGCTATCTTGTTTTATATATAAATGATTTTGACACCCACAAATACCTGAATATCAAGCTTTAAAGGAGATCTATTATGTCCCTTTTTACAAGATGTAATATAAGTCTCAGGTGTCCCCAGAATTTATCTGTGAAGTTTCAGCTCAAAATACCATTTTTGAGTGGAAGGAAAAACATGCTGTTTTCGTGCATGTATCTTTAAATGCAAATGAGCTGCTGCTCCCCATCCTGCTTTCCAGGAGAGGGCGGAGCCTTTACAGCTCGTGCCTCGGATACTCTGCCAAAAACTAAAATATCTGTTTGGTTTTGATTATCAACTCTATTGCAGTCATGCTCACATGACATTGTAGTTCTTCATCATCATGAAATTGTATTATCTGCATGCTTTTTAAAGCAACACTATGGAACTTTTCAACCTTCATAATATATTTCCAAGACCCTTGTGATACATCGACTTACAATAGGTTAAATGACACGTCTGCCATAGCCTGACATGGTCTGTATCGCTTTTACTCGCACTATGTAACTTCGGGTTTCGGGTAGTAACCTGAGCACAAAAAGAACTTCCCCCACCACTTCCTCAAAATGTCTATGGCCATTGCAGACATCCCAAGTCTATAGCGTCTCCCTGATGCCCGCAAATTAGTTCATATCTGCCGGAATCTAGAGCGCGCATGCGAGACAGAACACACTGCGCGCATAACATACATAGCGCAAGCACGGCAGAGAGGGAGAGAGCGAGAGACCTTGCGAGTGTGCCTCACGAAAGCTAGTCAACCCGCCACCCCCCCCCCCCCCCGTCAACAATCCAGTCACCAAGATATTCCTCCCTGAAATGACTTCTTGCAGGTTGGGATGTCTGCCATTGTTGACTCCAAAGCCGGTGCTGGATAAACAGCGAGCGTGCGCGTGCGACAGTAGGCTGCGGTAGGCTAAATTTATTTACGACAGCGGTAATGGACAATTCCGCTTCCAACCTGTAGGGCAACCGCAGAGGAAAAGTTCCTTGGTGTTGCTTTAAAGGGGTCCTGGAACTTTAGTTAGTGTGTGATGTTGCTGTTCAAGCATACAAACTATCAGCAAGGTTACAAAGCTCAAAGTTCACTCCAAAGGGAGATACTTTATTTAACAACGTATTTTTTCAATAACTACAACAAACAGCTCGTTTGGCCACAAAAAAACATGTGGCTCGCAAGCCATAGGTTTCAGACCTCTATAGGGGAACCCCTGCCCATAAAAATTCAAGTTCTGTCCGAGGGCTGAATGTACGGCAGTCGACCGCTGTGATATCCACGCAACGCATACCAAGGTGCCATGCCCATCTCCGGACTTGAGTCTGGCAACCTGTTTATATGCTTGGGTGATCCTTGTGACGTCATCGCACTGCGTCTGCCAGTGGCTTAGTGTCACACGTGCCTCAGACATCGGGTTCTGCGGGACGCGTCCCCATAGCATCATTCGACACAGCGTGGAGTTCCTTGAAAATGGAACATGTATTATTAAACATGGTTTCATAGCATTTATATATATATATATATATATATCAAGAAAATGTTTCATGGTATGACCCTTAAGCAACATGTCTATATACCGTACATAAAGGAACTTCAATATTGTAGCCAGCTGCTGCTGTGTAGCTTTTTTTCTAAATACTTTGAAACAGACTCTAGTATTTTCCGATCGATAAGCCAACAGTCCTTATCTTCTCTCCCCACCTTATTGACATAGCAGGCAAGGAGACCAGACACTGTGTGATGATGAAGAGACAATGATCAAAGAGGGTCCCTGACTGCATGCTGCCCCCAAGGCCCCCTTCCTTTGGGCCTGTGACAGATGAGCTCCTTGTTCGACACTGAAGTTTCAGTTGCGGGCAAACCCTCCAGGAAGTTACGAGAGCACAAAAGCTCTTATGAGGCATGTGATTTAGGGAGCACCAGATGCCAGAAATAGCAATGGCGCAAAGACGTCACACAGGAGTCCTTGTGCTGCTCCGTTCTCCCGCCGTCTATCTCTTTCGATATGTGTCAATTGTTTGTCAGATATTTATCCACAATGATACACAGCAGAGAGAGAGAGAAAAAAACCAGTGCAGAGATAACCTCTGTTTTTATTCATTGATTTATGTTTTTTCCTCTCTGTGTTATTGAATGTCATTATATGGCCAGTAGGAATAACCAGGCTGGGAAATATATCATCAAGGCTTTGGCTGGTAGCACAGTGAGACAAAAGATCTCAGGCCATTCATTCACACTCCATATGCCTCAGCAAGATGCTCTTATCATGCACCACAGAATGTATTTTACAGTTACTTATAATTCAGAGATAAAGGGAAGATGAATGCTATTCATTTTGTGTGACAACACAAGATTCACAGGTATTTATATCATACCTTATTCTAACAAGTAAAGACAAGTCTATTACTGATACACAACGAGACTATTTAAATATTTTTTTATCATACCTCTGGGGGATTATGGTAGCAAATCCCATTTTTTCATGATTTATGGTGCATTTGTATTACATCGCTCGTTTTTATATAGATGCTGTCACAATCTCAGTGTTTCCCCTTGCGCAAAACAAACCAGGGTGACAGTTATTCATCTATTCTGAGCATGTGAAAATTTAAATAGTACACTTGATAATGCCCAGAGCTGAATCCACCGTACCTCCTGTGACCATATTGTACACTTTCTTTTCCCTCGACTGAACCCTTGCCATGTGCGAATGCGCCGTGGCAATGGAGTCGCAGTCCAGTTGTGCCCATGACAGCTGTAACCATGCCCAAGATTGCTCAGATTTCTGTGGTGTCCTGTCCGCCTCTGAGTGGGTGGGATGCCAATCCAACCATTCACATCAGATGCAATTATATAGGCTAAATTTAAACGTAGCTGTGAGGAGAGAGACCTAATGACTGACAGAAGGGGAAAGGCAATGTAATGTGAGCTCACCTGCATGATGAGTAATGCTCGTCTCTGTCACCGCCACCACCAGGAGAATTACAGAAAGATAAAGGGTGGTGAAGAATGCAGTACATGAAGATTTGCAAAGGTGCACACATTTCCTGGTAAATCCCACCACTGCTGCACCAACTCATAAATTCTTCATTAAATCGTGAGCATGAAGTTGCTGTTAATGCATTGCCCAATTTTCCTGTTTATGACAATTTGTTTTTACTGAAAGCATTTCTGCGTATCCAATATACAATTAATCACTCTGAAAACTGTGAGCATTTTGTCGTATCCAGGTTTTCGTGGCAAAACATAATTATTATTTTCCTCCTGAGGAGAAAAATATATTATTGGTATTAGGAGACTACTGTACATAGTTTACATTACAATTAATGTTAAAATCAAAGAGGTCTCTAGCAACTGGAGAAAGGTATCTTTTAGCGTTCCCATTCCCATGTACTCAGTGTTGAGCTGGAGAAAATGCTTTTTGCCCCATATGGTATAGTTATGACATTTACCAGCAGGTGAGTAACTGGATTATTATGCCAAACCTTGACCTTTTGGTTTAAAACTGCACTGTTTCTTTCAAATTGCTTGGACCAACATTACATTTACAGTTTACTGTCTACTGTCACTGCCTTTAGGGTAGTGGCATATTGACAGATTGATTATAAATTTCAAAATTTTCAAATTTCTGTTTCTCTGGTTTTCATCGATTGAAGCGAAAGTCGCTCGCGGCGCCAGCACGGCAGGTTACGCAATACTCGTTCCCTCTTCTAGAGAGAACCAAGGTTACGTTAGGTAACCGATACATTCTCTTACGAGAGGTTCTCTCGTATTGCGTAAGTTAGCTTACGCTACGGGAACCCTTTGTCAACGCTGTGCGCGCCAAGCATCCACTCATGGGTCCCAGGGCTTCCCGGGGAACCCAGATAAGTGGGAAGTAAAGGAGGCCAGCAAAGCGGGCCAGCACTGTACATAAGCACTCATAGGGGATACAGAGCGGCGCACGATCATATCAGGACAGAACGTACATCTCACTTATATAGCCAGAAGTTTAGCCTGCAGAGCGGGAACTTCTAGGTTATAGAACCTGACAAAGGTGGACGGGGAGGCCCAGCCCGCCGTCACACATATGTCGTGAATAGAAATTCCGCTGGACCATGCCCACGATGAGGCCATGCCTCTAGTGGAATGAGCCCTGACGCCCAGAGGGCATTGCTGCTATAGCGTCCACAATACATCTGGACAGGCTTTGTTTCGAGGCGGCGAGACCCTTGGTGCGCCCACCAATCGAAACGAAAAGCTGCGGCGAGACCCTTGGTGCGCCCACCAATCGAAACGAAAAGCTGCGGCGAGACCCTTGGTGCGCCCACCAATCGAAACGAAAAGCTGCTCCGAGCGCCTGAAAGGGGCGGAGCGCGCAGTGTAAACTCTCAGCTCCCTGACTGGGCATAGGAGATTTAACATTGCTTTCGCTATCGGATGATGGCAGAGCCGATAGAGAAATGACCTGCGCTCTGAAGGGAGTGCCCTTTACCTTTGGAACATAGCCATGTCTAGGTTTGAGGATGACTTTGGAGTCATTTGGCCCAAACTCAAGACACAGCAGCGCTGACGGACAGCGCGTGTAAGTCCCCCACACGTTTGATTGAAGGCAGTGCAGTCAGAAAAACGGTTTTGAGTGATAGGTATTTCAGTTCCACGGACTCTAGTGGCTCAAAGGGGAAAGCTTTCAGGGCCTCGAGGACCAAGGAAAGATCCCACATTGGAACCGACGGGGGGCGCGGAAGATTCATCCTTCTGGCTCCTCTAAGGAAGCGGATGATGAGCTTGTTTTTCCCTAGTGACCGGCCGCGCGTCGATTCTGCGAGCGCTGCGACGGCCGCCACATAGACTTTAAGCGTGGATGGGGACCTCCCCTTATCCAACAGCTCTTGTAGGAAACTGAGGAGCCGCGAGACCCCGCGGGTCCAGATTTTTGTCGGTGCACCATTTAGAGAACACAGACCATTTAGACGCGTAAAGCTTTTTGGTAGAGGGAGCTCTAGACTGTGTAATCGTGTTCATCACTCCTTCTGGCAGGGTAACGGGTACCCGTTGATCAACCATGCATGCAGAGACCAGCGCTCTGGATGGGGATGCCAGATCGAGCCGCAAGCTTGAGAGAGAGGAGATCTGTTCTCACCGAAATCGGCCACGGGGCTGTGTTTTTGTGACAGCCGCGTCAGCTTCCGGGAACAAAGTCCGATTCTCCCCACACGGGGCTATAAGGAGCACCAAGTGGCGCGTTTCCCTGATCCTCTTGATTACCTGTGGAAACAGAGAAATCGGAGGGAAGGCATACAGCGGGCGGCTAGGCCAGATTTGGGCCAGTGCGTCCTCGCTCTTCGAAAAGAACCTTGGGCAGTGAGCGTTATCTTTTGACGCAAATAGGTTGACTTCCGCTTTACCGAAAGGCGCCATAGTTTCTGGACTGTTTGGGGGTGCAGAGACCATTCCCCTGGGGGAACGTTGTCCCTGGATAGCTTGTCTGGGCCGTCTTTCAGGTGGCCTGGCACATGCGAAGCTCTCAGCGAGCGCAGATGGTGCTGAGACCAAACGAGGAGGCGTTCTGTTAGATCGCAGAGGTTCCTGGATCTGACACCGCCCTGACGGTTTACATAGGACACAACAGACATGTTGTCCGATCGGACTAGAACATGGTGGCCCTGTATGAACGGGAGGAAGCGCATGAGCGCCTTCTCGACCGCTAACCTTTCCAGACAGTTTATGTGAAGGAGCTTCTCCTGGTCTGACCACAGGCCAAAGACCAGTCTGCCCTCGAAGAGAGCCCCCTAACCTTAGTTGGACGCATCTGTCGAGATGACCTTTTGATATGAGACAGCTCCCATCATCACTCCCCGCTGATACCAGTCGGCCGCTAACCAGGGCTGCAGAGCTGTAATGCAGGTCTGAGTCACTCTGATTCGTTCGAATCTCAAGAATGGCCTGTGACGGGGTATTATCTGAATCTGAAAACAGGCATCTTTCAGATCGAGAGAGATAAACCAGTTCCTCGGGCGAACGTGCGCGAGGATTTTCCTGGTCGTAAGCATTTTGAACGGCCTTTTCATAAGCACTTTGTTCAAATGTCTCAGATCTAAGATGGGCCTGAGGGCTCCTCGCTCAGAGAAGGCAGTACCAGGTCTATAGCACCTTTGCACAGTAGCTTCGCTATTTCTGCGCGGAGTAGATGTGCTACTTCCGCATTCACTGTCGTCGCGGTCCGCGCTCAAAAGCGCGGGGATGGCGAACGAACTGATGTGAATAGCCCTGCTTTATTGTGCTTAGCACCCATTCTGAAAAACCCCTGGGATAGCTTCCCATGCTTTTATATGTACAGCTAGGGGGCGAATGGCCTTCGCTCTCTGATCGCCGCACTTTGGGGGATCGAGAAACTGAACCGGAGGAGTGGGCGTGGCGCGCGCGCCCTCGGTGCTTGAAGGCGGCAGCTCGCTGACAACCGTTACAGGCTGAATTGTGTGTGACGTCCCGATTGGGGAGCTTTCTTTCACCACTTTGTGATGCGCGAGCAGCACCCTGGGCGAATTGTCTATTAGTAAGCGTGAGCGCTTGTTTGCGGGCACGAGACTTACATATGAATGTGACGCCCCGATCGCTTTGGATGGGGAGCGTTTTATGATCGCCTTGAGACGCGAGCGCGGCGCTATGGGCAGAGTGTTTTTTTTAGTAAGCGTGAGTGCTTCTGAGCGGGCACAGGACTTACAGTTATAAGTGACGCCCCGATCGCTTGGGATGGGCGGCATTTTATAGTCACTCTTAGATGCGCGGGCGGCGCTCGGGGAGAGGTATGTGTTAGTAAGCGTGAATGCTCGTGGGCGGGCACGTGACTTACATTCATAACCTGACTGATATGAGTCTTTAATGGCCGTGTGAGCGTTGCCAGTAAGCGTGCGCGCTCGTGAGCGGACACGTGACTTACATTCACAGCCCGACCAGTTATGAGCACTTGAGTACGGCGGCTCGCTGACAGCGACAGCTGGCTGTTTTACATGTGACGTCCCGGCTGCTTTGAATGGGGAACGTTTATGAAAACTTGTAATGTGCGAGCAGCGCCGGAGGCAATATGTCTGTTAGTAAGCGTGAGCGCTCGTGAGCGGGCACGTGACTTACATTCTTAACCTGACATGTATGAGGCTGTTCTGGCCGTGTGACAGAGCGGGCAGAAAATAGGCGTGAGCACAGAGTTGTGGGCACGTTTCCTACATCTAGCACTCGAGTGGCATTTGCCAGCTTTATGAGAGTGGGCTCTGCGAGAGACACGGGGGGTATCGTGCTTGTGTGTAGGGGTGAACACCGAGATGTGGGCACATTTTCTACACTCAAGACACCAACGGCGTGAGCCGGATAACTATATTCACTTAGAGATTTCTCTGGGTCGCCGCGAAAACGGCGGATGTGTGCAGGCGAGCGGGTTGCATTACCGGCTCGTTGGCTGCCAAATACACCGCTGCAGTAGCCTTTTCTAAGGGGACTGACAGGGCGAGACATTTCGACGGCGGCGCGCAAGCCCGTCCGGGTCATGCAGAGAGCTCGAGAGGGCTCTGCATGACGCACGAAACGGGGACGCGAGGGCGGGGTAGCTCTCTTGTAATGTAAGGAGAGCTAACCGCGTGCTCGTTGGTCGAGCAGTTACTGTGGGAACAGTGTTTGTATGAGGGCGCGCGCACTAGTAGTGGGCACGGGACCTACATGCGACACAGATGATGCCCGTCCGGGTCATGCAGAGAGCTCGAGAGGGCTCTGCATGACGCACAAAACGGGGGTGCGAGGGCGGGGTAGCTCTCTTGTAACGTAAAGAGAGCTAGCCGCGTGGCGCTGTGGTTAAAGACTTCGATTCGAGCCAGCAGGGTCGACATCGGAAGTTCCTCGCAGTGCTCGCATCCTCCATGAGATGGCGAGGGCTGCGTGTTCCTGGCCCAGGCAGAGAGCGCAGATGAGATGGCGGTATCCAACGCTGAGCGGCTCTGCACGAGCCACAGGAAGTGCGAGACATCTTGAAAAAGACGTCTCGCTGCTCTTTTAGGAAGTGTAGAACACAAAATACAAAGCTTAAAAGGATATGTCGCCGGATAGCGTAGCTCGCACGGATGGCTGAAGGTGGCAAAGACGGCCTGCTTCTCCAAGCGCTGTCCTAAGCTGGCTTGTCGCTTTTCTCAACGGCGGCAGCGGCTTCTCTCTAGATCCAGCGATGCGGAAAGCTTCGCTGAAGAGATGAAAATCAGAGAAACAGCCTCCGAGCCCTGCTTATATACGCTAAGCCACGTCCATTCTGGCGGGCTGTGACGCTGTGAAGGCGCGAGCGCCCTTCATTGGACGTGACGTCACGTCGGGCTCAGTGGTAGGCTGCTGCGGTTCCCGCAGGGCAGCCTATGAGCACGCTAGACAGCCTGCTAGCTGCTGCACTGCGTTGACAATAAATACAAAATTAAGGATAATTTTTTGGCTTCAATATCTCGAAAAGATTAATCTTTCTCATCGTAAGCTAACTTACGCAATACGAGAGAACCTCTCGTAAGAGAACTAGCAGTAACAAGCTAGATCAACTTTAGAATAACATACTGACCATATTCTAACATTTCAACATGTTGAGCTAACGTTATATAACATTGATTTGTTTTATGTACATTTGCTCACCTGTCTAATAAAGCTGTCAAGTCGTGACTCGTGAAGCTCTGTCAAGTCCAAGTTAGTCGCGGACGTGGAGCTCTTGGCATCTCAAAAAACGCCACGCTGATATTGATTCTCATTTTAGTTCTCCTTGTTTGTCCCAAAGTCTGCTTGCCATGGTCTATGTTTGAAAGAAACAAGAACTGCGTGCCGCTAAACGTTACCACCACGCAATTGTCCACGTCTGTCGCCATGGTTACGTCATGGCTATGGCAGTATGAATGGAAACCGAGGATAGCGCGGATATTGGGTCATTGACAGGCGACATTTTAGGTCACTTATTTAAAATTGGAATTTCTATGAAATAAAAAATCTTTGGAGACTTTTGGGATATTGTAAGTAGACAACTGCAGGAAATATATCACACTGTGCAAGTGATTTTTGGATATTTTATTACAAAATTCTTACATATTGTACCTTTAATTCAGCCAATTTCATTTTATTTTAAAGTTTTTTTTAATCACTGGACATTTGCTTACATTTGCCTTCATATCAATGCTGGTTAGACATGAAGTAAAGGCTGATTCTCTTTTTTTTGTTGTTCTCTATCAGTATAAAGGTCAGGCCAATCTGCATGTGTTTGAAGACTGGTGTGGTTCATCTATCTCCCAGCTCAGGAAGAATCTTCATTTTCCTCTCTACCCACATGTAAGTTTCTCAGACATTGAAAGAAAGAGTTTGATAGAACAATTAAGATGAACTTGCTTGTTTGACTTATGAAATGTATTATGGATACGGAGTCTAGTCAGTATGTTATTTTTAATATTTTCATTAACAAAACCCAAATGTTGGCCTAATATTTGCCTGTGTCAGTATGTTTTACACCCAGAGCTAATATAATTTCTTTTCACAGTGTTTTGAAGCTGTCTGTTTATTCTTCTTAGAAGTCATTTTGAGGTGTGATTCCGTGAATTACTGTTAGTGCCTTGGGTTTAAGATTGAATAGGCCTACAGATGCTTTTATATGTAATTCTTCCCAACAGACCAGGACCACAGTGAAGAAAATTGCAGTAGCTCCAAAGTGGAAGAATTATGGCCTTAGAGTCTTCGGATTCCTTCATCCTTACAAAGATGGTTAGTATATTTCATTAAGGTTTTTGTTTCATTTCATCTATACAGTAGTTATTGTTTTAACAAACATGATTTAAGAACCTTTGAAATATTATGGATTTGTTTTTGTCATAATTAAAATCAAACACATGGTCATTTAATTTCTAATGTATGGAAGTAAAATAATGCCAAATGTTTTTGAATCAAAAAAGCCTGTTGAATTGCACTATACTTGAAAAAAAAATAGGCATTGTGTGACGATCGGCAGCTGTAGTGCCCTCGAGAGCCACTGGAGGGCACTCTCTCTTTATGTTATGTTTCATTATGGACTCATTATGTTTTATTATGTTCAGGTGTGTTTAATTAAGCTGATTTAGTTTTCCTGTCTTAAGCCCGTGTTTTCCCTGTGTTCAGTGCGAAGTATTGTATAGCGTAAGCGTACCATTCCGAGCATTATTCTCTGATTCTAGTTCTTTGTATTTCGTGTTTCCCTGGACTCTTGACCTTAGCCTGTTATCTGGACTCTGTTTATGAACCTGTGCTGCCTGCCTCGACTTTTGCCTGTTTGACTTCGATTCTGATGTTCCCTTTCAATAAAGTTCTGCACATGGATCCGACCGCCTCTGTCCGTACGTTACAGAATACTTCGCCTAACGTGGATCCAGCAGACTTTCAGCATCTATCCACCGTGGTCAAGACCGGAGCTTCCATGCTAGCCTCTGATCATTCTCAGCTGGCGAGACTAACTTCTCTTCTCGAGGAACTAGCAAGCTCCGTGCAAACCTGGTCTACGCAGAGCTCAAGCACAACGGCTAATCAAGCCCAAACTGCCGCTGCACCTGTTCCACCGCAACCCAGTGTGAGTACCGCATCTAACTATCCCAGTCTGTCATTTCCTGAAAAGTTTGATGGCTCACCTGTGGCTTGTGAAGGATTCCTTCAGCAGTGCAGCGTATATATGAATCTTCAGCCCCAGTTGTACACCTCGGATTACGACCGCGTTTCCTTCATCTGCTCACTGCTCACTGGAAAGGCTCTGGAGTGGGCTGGTACATTCTGGGAACCAGGTCGGATGTCATTCACTTCTTACAACGTGTTTATCAACCTATTCAGAAGGGCTTTTGAACTCCCCGCAGAAGAGGAGGATCCCGAGGAACTGCTCTTGTCTCTGCGCCGGGGAGGTTCATATGCGGCGGATTTCTCTCACTCATTCCGCACGCCGCTAAAGCCTCAGCTCGCCAAACTGTTTGATCCTCCCTTGAGGACCGTCAGAGGAGCTTTTAAGCGTATCGTTCCTGCCAAACCCACTCATCGTGTCGGACTCCTCGAGCCCGTATTCCGTACTGGCCCTGTTAAACGTGCTATTCCAGAGACAGCGGTGGTTTCACCGGCCGATCTGGAGTTTGAGTGCGTGTCAACCGAGTCAAGTGAGTCTACCGGGTCTACTGAGTCTACTGAGTCTACTGAGTCAAGCCCAGTGAAGCGCCGTCGCAGAAGGAAGAGGAGGACTCGCTCGGCTCATCAGGCTCCAGTGAGCGTACCCAGACTCCTTGCCCTATCGGCCCCGCCTCTGCGCCTCGCCCTGCCTACGTCTCTCAAGCTCAGGGAGGCTTTTCCTGAGGCCGTCTCCAGCCCGGAGGTTTTACCCTTAGTTTTCCCCAAGAACTTTTTTGGGGGGGGGGGGGGGGGGGGGGCAGTAGGTACCCTGAGGGGTCCATGGAGGCGGCGCTGACATGGACCTTGATTCTGCTATCTCCACCAGAGCTTCCTATGCCGCTGGTCTCGTCCAGTCCAGAGCTTCCTGTGCTGCTGGTCCCGTCTGGTTCTGAGCTTCATACGTCCTGGTCCCCTGCCAAGTGTGCTCCGCCCTGGTCCCCTGCCGAGTGTGCTCCGCCCTGGCTCCCTTCTGAGTGTGCTCCGCCCTGGTCCCCTGCCAGGTGTGCTCTGCCCTGGTCCCCGGCCGAGTGTGCTCCGCCCTGGCTCCCTTCTGAGTGTGCTCCGCCTTGGCTGTCTGCGGAGCGTGATTCCCCTTGGTCTTCTGTCTTGTTCTGGTCTCCAGGCCCCAGGTCTCCCCATGGTCCTGGCCTCCTGCCTCTCCACGGGCCTGGCCCTCCATCCCAGCCCCCGTTGACCTCCCCCCGGAGCTCTTAGGAGCGTCTGGAAGCCGCTCCTTAGAGGGGGGGTTATGTGACGATCGGGAGCTGTAGTGCCCTCGAGAGCCACTGGAGGGCACTCTCTCTTTATGTTATGTTTCATTATGGACTCATTATGTTTTATTATGTTTGGGTGTGTTTGATTAAGCTGATTTAGTTTTCCTGTCTTAAGCCTGTGTTTTCCCTGTGTTCAGTGCGAAGTATTGTATAGCGTAAGCGTACCATTCCGAGCATTATTCTCTGATTCTAGTTCTTTGTATTTCGTGTTTCCCTGGACTCTTGACCTTAGCCTGTTATCTGGACTCTGTTTATGAACCTGTGCTGCCTGCCTCGACTTTTGCCTGTTTGACTTCGATTCTGATGTTCCCTTTCAATAAAGTTCTGCACATGGATCCGACCGCCTCTGTCCGTACGTTACACATTGCATGAACCATGCTTGCATTTTAATGCATTGTATTTTTAGGGCTTGCATTTTTATGGGCTGAAATTCAACATGGTTGAATTTTAAAGCTGTGAATATTTCAATTCAAAACATTTCAAACACATTTTCATTATTAAAATAAATAAATATCCATATTCACCTTTCATATTTCACTTCCAAAATATTCAAACTGTTTAAAAATACAACCTATAATATTTAACAGGCAAATTTCGGTCCATTTTATTTTGCTTTGCAAATTTGCTTTCACAAATTCAGTGGTTCAAATTCGACAGTAAATTCAAGGAACATCCAGGAACTGCAGGAAAAGCAATAGATTACCGAGCATTACCATCTGCTGTTAGTCGACCTCACTAGCAGGAGGTGCAAAAGCGCGCGTTGTTGACAAGACCAGAGCAACAGTTAGAGCAAGCCATTCATTCATAAAAACTCATGAGAAAAGCGCTATATAAATGTAATGAATTATTATTATTATTGTGTATACATAATATTGACACTTGGCTTGTCAATAGTATCCTGCTTTAAAATAGATGGACTGAATTTGATACTGTCATTCTAAAACATAGAATTTAGAATCTTTTCTTCCATCAAAGAAACAATGTGGTGGATTTTTTTTATTTTGCCATCCTACATGATTCAGCTTGTATTAAACAGATGGCTTGACATTCAGCTGTAGAATTTTATGATATAACTTGGACTGCATTGGTCCCTCAGGGATCTCAAACCATTCAGGTCTTTAGACAGCATAGCAGATATAGATCATTATATTGCCTCCAGCCTAATTGTTTTCACCTGATTTGTTCCACTGTTTCCACATTTATGGAAAGAGTCTTGTCATCTGTCTAAAGGACATTGTTTCAGAAGCGCTTTCAAAAGTGAAACATCTGGTACATTACTTTATACCATATTGTTTGAAGTCATGAGCACAGGCATTATTGAATTCTAAAGATACTTTATCATCAGTAACTATGAGTTCTTTTTTATTGTAATAAAATGTGTTCTCTGTAAATAAAAAAGGTGAATAGAATCACATATTAGTAGTGATTCATGCCCAATTCTAAAAGCTTCTCAAACCTGTGTGCTGTACCATCACACACGTGCAATACATACACATTAAGTGTTGCTTTGTGTTCAAAGTGTTCCTCAAAGCAGGATTGACTGGGGTGAAAGAGATCTGAATATTGCCAAAGCTGACAGGACGTCTAAAGGCACACAGAAACCATTATTTCAATGGATTCCTGGCAGTCAGCACATTTTGCACACTCTGCCTAACCTGATAAGAAAAAGCTGCTGTGAGGACTACTGTATGAGCCCTGATGCGTGCAGGCGTGCTCATGTTTGCAGGGGAAAAGTTGTGAGAATTTGCTAAGTTTTCATTAGCAAATAACCTGGGTCGCTGAGTCAGGCTTTTGACTGTGGCACACAAGCTCACAAAACAATCAGATAAGGAAGAGCTACTGTCAATTTAAAGTATATAGCTGAGAACTACAGACAGCCAGAATAAAGCCACTAGCACTGCTGGGTGATAGACTGCTGCGAGATTCCTGTGACTGCCAAACAACATCTTATCAAAGGAAGCTTAGAAGTGTGAATCTGCAGGTCAGTCATAAGGTTATACAGTACAACTCTGCAAATGATAAATTGTTTATTTCAGGGGATTTCCAGTTCGCCATAGCATCGGATGATAACTCTGAACTGTGGCTAAGCTCAGATGAGAGTCCACTCAATGCCCGGCTCCTGGTGTATGTGGGACAGGTGTGTACCTATGATGCATGGCTCCTAAATAAACCAGGCTGCACTTCTGACCAACTTCATACCTACAGTAGAAGGGCTGAGTTTATTTTTATCTGTATTTTTTTTTTGTGTCTGACATAGGGGTGGGGAAAATTCTGAATTGAAGAATGACTAAATTTATGAGTGTGTAGCCTATTTTAATTGAATTGGCTCACCCCTCATGAAGCTAATTTGAAATGTAAATTTGAATAACAGAAAGAGATTTTACAGAATTGTAATTGAACAAAAAAAACCCATAGGTAATCCTATCTATATATCTAATAATCTATCTATCTATCTATCTATCTATCTATCTATCTATCTATCTATCTATCTATCTATCTATCTATCTATCTATCTATCTATCTATCTATCTATCTATCTATCTATCTATCTATCTATCTATCTATCTATCTATCTATCTACATTACTTTCGGTTTTAATTCACTTTTATTCTGCTTCCTAACAATCAAATTGCAAATTAGCTTCCTCTTTAATACCTCAATTCAATTGTAATTTAAAACACCCTCTCAATTCAATTCTGAATAGTACAAGCCTGGATATTGTGTCATGTGTGTCTGTGCTCGAGATGAGTTACAGTCTCTGTTGTCTGTTGTCATATAGCGCGGCTCAGAGTGGACAGCTCCAGGAGAGTTCAGCAAGTTCAGATCCCAAACTTCCAAACCTGTGCGGTGAGTGTCATACAGCATATGTTCCCTGGATTTATCTTCACAATTAAATGCATATTAGGAGAGTATGAATTAATTGTGAATTATGAATTGTCTGCAACATGGAAAGACACTTGCCAGCTCATTACTTTATACAGCTATACAGTACGTTTAAATATGCTGTGCTCTGTATGAGCAGCAATGAGCGAGACAAGATGTGAAGATCACAGTTGTGGTAAGTGACACATTAGAGTTTTTCTCAGTCGCTTTGGTGCATTTCTCACATCACTATTTACATTTGCACAACAGTTAATGCAATTCTCAAAACAATTAGTACAAACTGCAAAACCTAGTTGATAACCTGCAAAAGCGTGTCACTTTCTTACAATGGATAGCTCATTCCTCAAAAGCAAGTATTCATGTCAATGAAAGTGTCAGTGTCATCAAGATGAAAAGTCCTGACACCATTGTTTATGAACAAGATAGTCAAATGGCTTTGTCATGTTTTCATTATGACAGTTTACTCTGTAAATGTTTTCCAATGCAAAAAAGTCAGATCATGTTGACACTACCTGAAAATGCTCAAGACAGCACTTTATACTATTTGCACAGCCATTTGAAAACTACAGTAAAGTTACACGTTACTGTTTTTAGTGAGGTAACTGAGTACAAGACACTGAATATGTATGTTTCACATTTTTACTGCATATGCTCTTTGCAATTCTAATTTGTTCACAGCATTGTGCAAAAGAAAAAATACACCCTTATTTACAACAAACATAAACTCCCTTTGGGTAGAGCTGTGCACAACTGTAAACAATATTACATATTGGAACTGAACATACAACACACATAGTACTGTAAATCATTCATGCACATCCTTTCTCATCAGTGAAAGCTGAGGTTCACCTGAGAGAAATTGTTCAATTTAGGATAAAAAAAAGTTTTTTTTTTAAAAGATAAAAAAAAAGATTTAAAAAATTGTAAAATTAGCTTGACAGATTTTGACAACTAGTTCTACATTTTTGTATGTGATGACTCAGTCAATGAAATGAGGACTATTAGTTTTATATGGAATGACTATTCAGCATTCACAAGTATAGTTAATTTTGACTGACATGACATAAGCAAATGATAATGTTATAAAACAGCAGAGACTTGTATGAAAGCAATTGATACATGTCCAAAAGCATTTGCAATTAGTTGGAAGGAATGAGAAACTGCTACTATGATGTGCACAAATGACTAAATGTTGTGGAGGTTGAACTAACTGTTGTGCAAATGTAAATAGTGATGTGATAAATGCACCAAATGCACCTCCTCAAGATGAACACTCTGAGGGTTATTTTTTTTCATTTGTCACTGCTTTTATTATTTAGCAGAAGGTATGAACATGCAAATTCATCACACATATCTCTGGTTTCACAGAAAAGGCTTAAGCCAGTCCCAGACTAAAATGCATGTTTGAGCTGTTTTAACTGCAAATTTTAAAACAGTGCAAATTGCACTGGCAAATCTTAAAGGGTTAGTTCGCCCATTTAAGACATGAAGTTGTATGGAATTCTTACCAGCACTATAGTGCATACACACTGACCCACTCTGTAGTCACCTCCCTGGTCAGAGTTCGGGCCGCTGGAAGTTTTTCAAGAAAGTACTCCCGGTTAGTTTCCGGGGCCTCAAAACTGTGCGTTTTTATGTGAAAAAATTATTTGCGTTTCAAAGCTTGATTAATTGAACACACAAAAAACACGCCGGTCAAAATTCATACCTCAGTTTTAATCGGCACTATTTTCTTTCCATTTCTATCAATCCGCGCTGCTGTCAACGTCAACAGTGTGCACGTTCCGATCAGCTGTTCCATAGTGTTTACACAATCGATAACGAAACGACGCAAAAAGTAGAAAATGAACGATGGTGCGAACTTGTAAATTTCCAGGCTGTGAACACAAGAATGTGCCGGGATCACCGTTCAGATTCCATCGTTTTCCTGTTTCGGATATAGCTACGAGACAGCTTTGGCTGGTTGCCATCGGCTACTCTGCGGGTATACTCCGGTTCATAAAGGTATCCCTTTGGCGTTGTGCTAAAATTACTTTCATCCTCATCTGTTCCGTCTGACATTGTGCTAAAATTGGTTTCATCATCAGAAGTTTCGCAGTCAGACATGTTGTCAGCGAGTCGCGCTATCAACAGCTGATCGGAACGTGCGCACTGTTGACGTTGACAGCAGCGCGGATTGATAGAAATGGAAAGAAAATAGTGCCGATTAAAACTGAGGTATGAATTTTAACCGGCGTGTTTTTTGTGTGTTAAATTAATCAAGCTTTGAAACGCAAATAATTTTTTCACGTAAAAACGCACAGTTTTGTGGCCCCGGAAAATAACCGGGAGTACTTTCTTGAAAAACTTCCAGCGGCCAGAACTCTGACCAGGGGGGTGACTACAGAGTGGGTGAGTGTGTATGCACTATAGTGCTGGTAAGAATTCCATACAACTTCATGTCTTAAATGGGCGAACTAACCCTTTAATATATATCAGTGCCATTGTTTTCTCAAGATGCACACCAGTAATGTTTTTATGGCACGTTTAAAAAAGCCACTTAAATGCCCTAATTGACCTAAGGCCTAATTCTGGTTCAGTCTAAGCCCTGTCTGTGAAACCAGGCCACATATTTGTATTTGTAAATTGAGTTTAAATAACTTGAAAAACAGTCATGCCACCAAACTTTTTGAATGAGTTAAAACATTCAAGATATTTTCCTCCATTCCTTATCCATTCATTAAATCCAGGTGTATGAACCTTATATACTTTATGCTCATAATGATTTAAGACAGCACATGCTCAACTTCGCTGTTAAATGAACAGGCATCTGGGGCAGTTACTGTAACAGTAAGTGTGCTGCCCAATAGGTGTCTGCAGAGACAGTGTGATTGGGAATAACAAGGGGACACATTAAATAGTAGTTTGTCAGAGTGAAGTGTCATGTCGTCCGTTTTAATCGCCCTTGTCTGTCTTCTCCTGATTGGTGCAGAAGTCGAGCTTCGGTGTAAATAGTGTGTGCCGCTGAATTATTCATCAGCAGTGTCAGTCTAAAAGCAAGCGTGTACATGTTCCAGAATATTTTAGGGCTAATAAAAATGAGCATGTTATTGGCACTCCAGAGGGAAAGGCAGAGAAGTGCCTCCTCTTTTCAGCGATCTTTGACAATGGCCTGGCAACGGTTCAAACTGCCACAAGAGTGTCTTTGATATCCTCTGCTTTTCTAGTTGAGGATGTCAGGATCTAAACTTTTTTTGACTTCTGTTCAACTTGAGTTAGACGACTTTCTGTCTACGTACCTCAGTTCACTGTTTGCTTTCATTTTGCCCTTCGATTGGGGCTTGTTAGTTTGGTGACAGACAGAGCAGAGTAGGCCAATGCGTCATATAGACTAATGGGGTGGATTTTAGAGAGCAAAAAGGGCAAATGTCTGACAGGATTGTCTGGAATTTCCATAGTCGCTGGGCAAAATAGCGCACTAATGAACTAGAGGGAAAAGTTTACAGAGCCATCAAGAGGCGAGCCATGCCTGTCAGTTGTGGATGACAGAAGCTAGGAAGATGCTTTAAGAAATGCCTTAACACATGCCCAAACCATCTCCATATAATGTATTTCCCCACAACCTCCCTCTCACTCTCACTCTCTCTCTCTCTCTCTCTCTCTCTCTCTCTCTCTCTCTCTCTCTCTCTCTCTCTCTCTCTCTCTCTCTCTCTCTCTCTCTCTCTCTCTCTTAAATAATAAATATTTAATAAAATATACAGAAATATATCATTTTATTTTAAATATATAATATCTCTCTCTCTCTCTCTCTCTCTCTCTCTCTCTTTAAATAATAAATATTTAATAAAATATACAGAAATATATCATTTTATTTTAAATATATAATATATATGAGACTTACTCTTTATGTGTCTTACTCTTATGTATATGTATAGTATTTTCATGTATCACTTACATAGTAGAATGGAGTATATCTAATATGCCCTCCACGGCTGAAGGAAAGAAAGGGCAGAGTAACTCAGAGTCTCAGATATTGTAACTGGCATTTATGGCAATATGTCAGTTCTACAGGGCCAGCAGAGGTCAACCTCTCTTGACATTTTAGAAGTATCTGTCACAAGTGTGCTGGGAAATGTTAAAAGCAGTTTCAGTTCACTAAATACATAATAGGATCTATCAACTGGATTTTTTTAATGCTAGTACATTTACATTACCACTATATATATATATACACTCACCGGCCACTTTATTAGGTACACCTGTCCAACTGCTCGTTAACACTTAATTTCTAAGCAGCCAATCACATGGCGGCAACTCAGTGCATTTAGGCATGTAGACATGGTCAAGACAATCTCCTGCAGTTCAAACCGAGCATCAGTATGGGGAAGAAAGTTGATTTGAGTGACTTTGAACGTGGCATGATTGTTGGTGCCAGAAGGGCTGGTCTGAGTATTTCAGAAACTGCTAATCTACTGGGATTTTCACGCACAACCATCTCTAGGGTTTACAGAGAATGGTCCGAAAAAGAAAAAACATCCAGTGAGCGGCAGTTCTGTGGGCGGAAATGCCTTGTTGATGCCAGAGGTCAGAGGAGAATGGCCAGACTGGTTCGAGCTGATAGAAGGGCAACAGTGACTGAAATAACCACTCGTTACAACCGAGGTATGCAGCAAAGCATTTGTGAAGCCACAACACGCACAACCTTGAGGCGGATGGGCTACAACAGCAGAAGACTCCACCGGGTACCACTCATCTCCACTACAAATAGGAAAAAGAGGCTACAATTTGCAAGAGCTCACTAAAATTGAACAGTTGAAGACTGGAAAAATGTTGCCTGGTCTGATGAGTCTCGATTTCTGTTGAGACATTCAGATGTTAGAGTCAGAATTTGGCGTAAACAGAATGAGAACATGGAACCATCATGCCTTGTTACCACTGTGCAGGCTGGTGGTGGTGGTGTAATGGTGTGGGGGATGTTTTCCTGG